CCAACTACAACATTTAAGAAGCTGGTGCACAACATTGGAATGAGTCAAATAAAGGATCTTCAAGGTTGATCTAATGAGGGGGAGCAATTGATTAAAGAGGTATTGGCATACTGTACTCTTTTTCCTTCGTCCAGGTTTTGTCCCACTGGGTTTTCCTGGCAAGGTTTTAATGAGACAGTTTTAATCTATGCAATACCATTTTCAAATGCATAAGAATACTGTACTCTTTTTCCTTCGCTAGGGTTTTATCCCACTGGGTTTTCCTTAGCAAGGTTTTAACGAGGCATATTCTTAGTGTAATTTTGTGGACCCCAAGGGGGAGTGTTATATATATATACACGTGTGTGGGGTCCACGAATTGATTAAGTCATCCATGTAATCATAGTTTTGAGGCTTACAAAGAAAGATAGCTTTGGAGGCGTACAGAAGAAGCCAATTTTGAAGCCTATAAAAAGCATTGTGCATGTACTAATTTTGAACACAATTTGAATGAAACGTTTCATTCTCTCTCAGTCTCTCTTTCGTTCTCTCTCTCTTTCTCTCTAAAGTTTTAATTTCATTTCTTTAATAAGTATTATATTCTATATATATCTATACACACATATATTTATTACAGAGTTCACTTTCTCTCGATCTGTATATCAGTTTTTGATCTGAAAAAAAAAAAAAAAAAAAAAAAAAAAAAAAAAAAAGAGTTAATTTCACTCACACCTCCTCAGGTTTGGCCAAATATCAGCCTCAAATATTTTTCGAAAATAACTATCACTTAAGTCCATTTTCGTTTTTTCGTCATGATCTCTGTTAAAAACATGGAAAAAGATAACTTTGCCCCTAATTTTTTAATCACATTTATTCCAAAATATAAAACAAGCCAAATGACTATTATACCCCGAATTATATCATTTAATTGCCAATACACACTATTTCTCTCTCCTCTTTATCTGAAGGACGCTTCCTATGTCTCTCTCTATCTTCTCTACAGATACACAAAACCTTCTAAAGTCCAAATTTCGTACCGTCAAGCCGAAGTTCTAGAGCCATCCACATAAATCACTGAGCAAATCCATATACCTTTCATCCAACTGCGTACCGCGGATCAACTGCTCTCTTCTTGCATCCTTCTCTTTATTATCAGCTTCCAGCATCAAAGCCCTTTCCACCGCTTCAGAGTAAACCTTAATGAACTGTATTGTGATCAACGGCCTCATCCGATCATTAAGACCAGAAACAAACTTCCGAGTCTTGTTAACTTCATCTCTCACCATTTCTGGAGCAAAGCGAGAAAGTGAAGTGAACTTGTTTTCATATTCTGCCACTGACATGCTCCCTTGGATAAGGTTATGAAACTGGTCTTGTAACTCCCATCTTTTGGAAAGCGGAAAGTACTTTTCATAAAACAATTCCTTGAACTTGTCCCAACTCATCTCTTCTATCTTGTATCGGCTCGTAACCGACTTCCACCATAATTTAGCATCCTTAGCAAACTTATAAGTAGCTAGGATGATCTTCAAATGATCCTCTGTCACATCCATAGAAGTCAATTGAGTTTCAACTTGCTCCATGTAGTCATCTGCTATCATTGGATCCGCACCGCCCTCAAACATAACCAGCATCAGCTGAGAAAACCCCTTAATAATCTTGAGACGCTTCTGAGCTGGCGTCTCCTCAACTTAAACTATAGGTTGTGGTGCCGACTGCGACTGAGCAGCAATCGTTGCCCTCACGACATTTTGCAACAAACGATTAAACTCCAGTGCCACAGAACCTTCACCCACTTCTACGGGTGCTTCAACATTATCCCTCCTTGCGGGGACAACTCTTGGGGGAATCAAGTCCCTTAGAAGTGTGTCCTCATCATTTAGCTCCTCCGGATTGGAGCTGGAGCTCTCGCCAATATCACCCCTAGTCGGTCTAGGGCCAACTTCCCTGATTTCCTCACGCCGTGACATCGTTCTATAAAACAAAGGAACCAATTCAATAACAATAACACTAAGGTCCAACCGTGAACAACCCAACGCAAAAACATACTGTACAAACATTTAGCATGTAATATTATGCAATGAACACATTAATGTAAGCATATAAACACATAAGCACGTAAGCAAGTAAGCAGTTAAGCATGCTTTTTCACATAGCAAAACACTTTTCCAAACAAGGAAATAACAATGCAAATGACTTCCCCGACAGCCCTAGGTAAGCCTCTACCCGTCGTCCTAATGGTATTCGAACCATCGCTCTAATACCAAAATTTGTAACGACCCTAAACTAAAACTATTTATACAAAAATTTCGGCATGACCTCCCCTAAAAGTGGTCCTTCAACAATCTGTCCCAATACACAAAACAAAAAAATATTTACTCCAGCATCCCATTCATTACACCTCAACATAGTTCCTCTCATGGTAGAACATGCACACACCAATTAATCCAAATTATTATAATTACAGTCCCAAAATACATGGTTAAGATCCAAAGTCCATGTCTTACAACGTTACATGATACAATTACATGGAAATATATACCATAATTCCATTAGTTTCATTTACATTAAACAAAAGATAAGTTCGTTCTTAAATTACAAGGCCATGACTACTAACTTAGTTACATTTCCACAACTATGAATATACGTAGAATGGTCAAAATACAAAATAGCAAACAACCTACTAACAACTTTCAAGTTTGCGGAGGATTGTCATCCGCCGTTTCTTTGCCATGACCTGAAAAAAATAATAAGTATGCAGGGTGAGCTATATGCTCAGTAGGTGACACTTTAGACACGCATCTTATGTCCTCGTGAATCCAAACATAGAATAGGTCAATAGGAATGGGGATCATACAATATCGGGATAATACAACATTCCAATCAAACTCAAGTACAACAATGCAATGCCATGAAATACGAATGCATGCCGATGTCGCTCCCCATTTTCACATTTAAAATCCATCACTTTCAAACTGTTAATATAACCCGCCCTTTGGTGACCCCGCAGCGACACGAGAGGAGGATTGGCTAGTGTCCCTGACCCTTGGTAACCCCGCGGCGTCATTATGAGGCCCAGCTAGCTCAACCATGCTAGGGCGACTCCCTAGTCCCCTCTAGGCTATATTAACACTCTGGCCCTTTGGTACCCCCGCGGCGACCGGGTTTTCCAAAATCACTTTCATCAAAATACTTTTCCCCGAAACTCCCTATTTTCATTTCAAAAACAATCTTCCCAATCATATCTCATGGTATGCATGTACATCATGTTCTTAATGCCATGGAAGTGAAGGCTTTCACATTATACAATTGTGCATACATTACAAGTACTCTAGGGAAATTACACATGCCATCCCATATCATTCTAGCAAGTTTTACAACAATATAAGCATGGTAAATCAATTTATCAGACAAGGAAATTAGTCAAATAAACATGTTCTCATACAACTCAAGGAGCACATTTAATCATAACCTCACATATAACACTTACATCATCTTTAATACAATTAATTCAAAAATAAGCATGCTTTTCAACAATTTAGGAGGTATAATTCACAAAAGAGCAAGAACATCATGAGTTAAGGGCCCCTACCTCAAGATTGCACAAAACCCTTAAAATGGGTCTTGAATTTCGAACTCCAAGAAGGGCACCAAATCTGGAATTGTTCGTATGGATGCGTAGAGCTCGTCGTGGGCTTCGTTTTGCCTCAAACGGCACCTTAATCCGATAAGAGATGAGAGAGAAATTAAGCCTTGAAGCTTAAAACCATAAAAAGAAAAAAAAAAAGCCCAGAGAGCTTCTGGAATGAGAGAGAAACTGATACGCAGAGAAGAAGAAATAAATCATTATATTGGCTTATAAATCATGTGGGCCCCACAGGTGAATAACATTTTATTTAACTTTAACATATATATATACATATATATATAAAAAGTTAAAAACATTACAAGTTAGCACTCCTCTAAAAATAAATGGAGTAATAAATTTGAAATTTTTGTCAACCAATTAATTCCTAAATCATACAAATCTACCCATCTGAAAAAACATAAACATGCAATAAGCAATTTTCACAAACCTAAATATATATAATTCAAATTAAAACTCTAACAAATTGTGAAATAAATGAAGCAAAAACCTAATCTTATATAGAGGGTAAACATGTCATTTGAAGCATTAAAGAAATAATTAAATTGGTCAAACCAAAGTCAAAGGGTAAGAATATCTTTTTACATGTAAAAAGTGGTCTAACACACCTGTCAACTAACTTTTGGGGTGTGAGTAAAATACGGAATAAACATTTGTAATGTGAGTGATAGTTATTTTCGAAATATGTTTGAAACCGATATTTGGCCAAAAGGGGTGTGAGTGAAATTATCCAAAAAAAAAAAAAAAAAAGGAAAGCCAAGAAAAGAGAAAGAGAGAAAAAAATGGATTTAATTGGATTCTACCTTGTTAGAGAATTTGATTGTGTGTGTTTTAATTTTTTATTTTGGGACATGTGTCAAATTTTGATAAGACCACGTCAAGTTGTAGGATAAAACTTATCTTGATAGGGCAAGATCCAAGCATTACTCAAATAAGATATGACAAATCAATCCAAATATTAATTTTTATTTGATCCTTTGTCCAATAATTAATGGTGTGAGATATATATAACACAAATTATATCATTACATGGATCTCATTTTGTCGTTAGTGTAGACTTTCCCCACTTCATGTGGCAAATTCAAAGTAAAAAAATATATATATTATAATAAAAATAAATTTTAAAAAGCTAGTTGTGCTCTTAATGTCCATACCAGAGATCTGGCATTCCACATGGAATTTAACATATATTATAATTCCACATGGAATTTAATTAACATATATTATACGTAAAGTAAATGGATTTGTTTTACTAGTACTTGTTAATTTTTATAGACAAATGGAAATCAAGCTTTGATTTTATTTTGTGTTACCCTTGAATATTAGGCACTACTGATCAGCTAGCTTAATTAACTCCTAGTTCCTAGTATAAAAGCTGACGAAGTTTTAGCAGTACTCAACCCAAACAACTAGCTTTTGAGTTTTGCAGTTGAGCAACCAAATATGATGCTCCAGCTTTTCCTAACTTTTCTTCTTTGTTTGTTATTGATTGTGAAACATTGGAAGATGAAGACATCTAAATACTCAAAGAAGCTACCACCAGGGCCATGGAAGCTACCCATTATTGGTAACTTGCACCAACTGGTAGGCTCTCTTCCACAACATGCCTTGAAGGCCTTAGCCAAGAAACATGGACCCTTAATGCATCTCCAACTCGGTGAGGTCTCGGCTGTTGTCATTTCCTCACCCGAATTAGCCCAAGAGGTGTTGAAGCAGCGTCAACTCAGCTACGCGCAAAGGCCTCAAATTCTTGCTGTTGAGGTCATGTCTTATGATGGCTCCAGCATTTTCTTCGCGCCCTATAATGACTATTGGAGACAAGTGCGAAAGATATGTGTCACTGAGCTCCTAAGCGCTAAACGCGTAGACTCATTCAAATCCGTCAGACAAGAAGAAGTGCAGAATCTCATACAATGTATTTCATCTTCCCGGGGCCTTCCCATCAATATGAGTCACGAGATATTCTCACTGTCAAACAGCATAATTTCACGCGCCGCGTTTGGCAAGGCATGTGCAGATCAAGGCTTGTTCATAGAAACGCTTGACGAAATTATAAGCTTGGGAGGAGGTTTTGGTTTGCATGATCTGTTCCCTTCACTTAAAATCCTTCATTACATTTCCGGAACGAAGCCTGTCATGAAGAGGTTGCAAAGGAAAATGGACAAAATTCTAAACACCATTATGAATGAGCACAGAGCCAAAAGGAAACACATAAATGATGTACTAGTTGTGGAGGAGGAGGAAGATTTGGTTGATGTGCTCCTCAACATGGAGGAGGGTAGTACCGGTGCTGATAACTTCTCCCTTACCACTGACAACATAAAAGGTGTCATTTTGGTAAGTAATGTTCTACACAATTCATTTTGAATTTTATTAGTTTTTACTCCTACACCTACTATATATATATATATAATGATATCTTCTTTGTTTTTTTTTTTTTTTTTTAATTTCAGGACATTTTTGGAGCAGGGAGTGAGACCTCTGCATCAACCATGGTATGGGCAATGTCAGAGATGGTAAAGAACCCGAGAATAATGAAGAAGGCACAAGCTGAAGTTCGAGAGGCACTCAAAGGAAGGAGCAATAATATTGATGAGAAAGTTATTCATGAACTAAATTACTTGAAATGCATCGTCAAAGAAACTCTGAGATTACACCCTCCAGGCCCTTTGTTACCAAGAGAATCAATCGAAAGAGATGAAATTAACGGATATGAGATACCGGCAAAAACCAAGATATTGATCAACGTGTGGGAAATGAGCACAGATCCAAAATACTGGGGTGACGGAGATTGCTTTAGACCAGAGAGGTTTGTTGATTCATCCATGAGTTTTAAGGGAACTAATTTTGAATATCTGCCATTTGGAGCAGGTAGGAGGATATGTCCAGGCATTTCATTTGCTATTGCAGGCATTGAACTTTCACTTGCTCAGCTGCTCTATCATTTCGACTGGAAAGTCCCAAATGGAAGCAAGCCAGAAGAACTCAACATGACTGAGACATTTGGAATAAGTGCAAAGAGGAAATATGATTTGGAGTTGATTGCCATTAATCCCATGTCCTCCATTGCTTGATCAGAAAACATTTTTACTAGTATTATGTATGAATTAAATATCACTAGTGTTGTTGGAGACAAGAATGTGAGTATTCCATCTTGAATGTAATTCAGTTGATCGATCGATCACGTTGGCCTTGTAAAGATTGTATAACATATAGCTGATCTACGTACTGCCATTTCAGATAACTTCCTTCTATTAATGCATTGCAATTTGCCTTTTTTTCTTTCTAATGAGAACTGGTTCTGGCTTTGAATATTGGATAATTGACGAGAGGTTAAGCAAAAGCTTAAAAAAAATTACAATGGTTAAGCAAAAGCTTCAAACTAAGAAAAGTAGGGAGTAGGTTATTATTTTTCTTATTCCAACTCAATGTGTTCTTACTCTTCAATCAGACTAAACATTTTTACAGTCATGAGTTGCAACACCCAAAAAATTTCTCACTCCTGATTTTCAAACCGGACACTGATTGATACGCTGACGTTGACTTACAACAGTCTGCCAAATAAACAAACCTTTCCCACCATTATACTAACTGTTTTCTTATTGACTTTTATGGACTTTTCTCTTTCTATTGCTCTGTTTTATTTATTTTTTTCTTCTTTTGTTTCTTTCATTGGTTGAGGTGGGTTCATGTACAGTGTTCTACATCAATAATTAATGGAAGAAGTTGAATCAACTGACGTAGTCAATCAAACAATCACAAGCAAACACAATATTTAATATAATTTGGTACAAAGGAATTTACATAGTTTAGTGTGTGTATATATATACACACAGGGACGGATCAATATAATTTGAGACTTTAAGGAAAAAATATAAAAATGACCTTTTAATATCTTATATATATATATATATAATCAATCTAATTAATCTTTCTTATTACATAATTGATCTTAGAGTCATACAACATATACTTAATGAAAAATGAGGAAAAATATGTCAAAAATAAGGAGGAAAAAAAAAAAAACAAAAAGATAAAAGTTAAAATAAGAATATGAAAAGTTTTACAAAATCTGGAGAGAAAAAAAATGTGAATGAGGAGCTGAATAGGTAAGATAAAGATAGAAATCTTTTAGCCCCTATTAGATCTCTATTGGTTAGGTTTTAATAATCAATACAAATAAAAATTTTAAGTAGGTTATAATATAAGGAAATAAAAAAAAATTAGAGCCTTTCTATTAGACAGAGTTTAATAATAAGAAGGAAATAACATTTTTAGGAAGATTATAATATAAACAAATAAAAAAAATTGAAAGTTATAATATAATGAAATACAAATTTTTTGGGCCTTTATATTGGCTGAAGTGATAATAGGAAGGAAATAAAATTTTTAGGAAGGATATAATATAAAAATATATATATATATAATTGAGGCCTTCTTATTGGCCGAGGCATTAGGTTTCCTAAATCGCCTAAGGTCCGGCCTCTCCTGCAAGCATATTGATAAGATTAAGACCTGTGTGAAATTATTAGAAGACCTAAGACTTAGTATGATTGTTAGTATTAAAGCAGCCATACCAATATAAAAAGATACAATAAAGAGTTGTGTAATTACAAACATATCCACTTATATTTTTCAGTCACCTTGTGCATTCTGGACTGAGTCCATATTCTCCCTCTTCATAATTTGCATGGTTAAGAATACGCGCATATTTATAAGACTAAAATATGCCTGAAATTATTAGAAGACCTAGACTTAGTATGATAGTTGCATAAGCCCTACCAATATAGAAAGATACAATAAAGAGTTGTGTAATTACAAACATATCCACTTATAATTTTCAGTCACCTTATGCTTTCTGGACTTGGTCCATATTCTCCCTCTTCATAATTTGCATGGTTAAGAATACGCGCATATTGATAAGACTAAGACCTGCATGAAATTATTAGAAGACCTAGACTTAGAATGATAGTTACAGAAGCCCCCACCGATATAGAAAGCTACAATAGAGAGGTAGCTCAATTTAATTTGGGTCTTAGGCCCAAAATAAAAGGTGATTTTTTCAAAAATATAAATAAAATTAGTCATAACTCAAAAACAAAATATACAAATATATAAACTAATATACACACAAATTTATAATAATAAAAATTAATAAAATTAAAAAATAATTAAAGAAAAAGAATCATTGAACCTGATTTAGAAAACCCAAATCCCTACCAATATAAAAAGATACAATAAAGAGTTGTGTAATTACAAACATATCCACTTATATTTTTCAGTCACCTTGTGCTTTCTGGACTGAGTCCATATTCTCCCTCTTCATAATTTGCATGGTTAAGAATACGCGCATATTTATAAGACTAAGACATGCCTGAAATTATTAGAAGACCTAGACTTAGTATGATAGTTGCATAAGCCCTACCAATGTAGAAAGATACAATAAAGAGTTGTGTAATTACAAGCATATCCACTTATAATTTTCAGTCACCTTATGCTTTCTGGACTTGGTCCATTTTCTCCCTCTTCATAATTTGCATGGTTAAGAATACGCGCATATTGATAAGACTAAGACTTGCATGAAATTATTAGAAGACCTAAACTTAGAATGATAGTTACAGAAGCCCCCACCGATATAGAAAGATACAATAGAGAGGTGGCTCAATCTAATTTGGGTCTTAGGCCAAAAATAAAAGGTGATTTTTTCAAAAATATAAATAAAATTAGTCATAACTCAAAAACAAAATATACAAATATATAAACTAATATACACACAAATTTATAATAATAAAAATTAGTAAAATTAAAAAATACTTAAAGAAAAAGAATCATTGAACCTGATTTAGAAAACCCAAATCCAATACTTCTACAAATTTTTCAATAGAATAAAAATGCATTTATAACAAATGTATACTTGTAAAGAGATGGGGAGGACAAGACTTGCTGAAAAGAAGAAGATAAAACATAAAATAAAATATAAAAAGAAAAAAAAGAATAGAATATGGAAAGTTTTTTCCATTTTTCCAAACAACAACGTTAAATAGATATTTAATATTTTAGTATTGGTGTAACTTACTCCAAAATATTTTTAGTACTGGTGTAAAAAAATGTGAAAGAGAGACAAAGAAATAGGGGAAAAAATTATATTTAATCATACAATATTTTTTTGGGACTAATATTAAATTTCTATATTGGTTAGGATTTATTGTTAGATGTAAATGAGAATAGAAAAAGGGAGGGGAAAAAAAGTTAAATCTTTGGGGCCCAATATTAAATTTATGTATCAATTAGAGTTCAATGGAACGAAGGAGGAGAGAGAGGAGAAAAAAAAAGAAGTTATCTTATAATATAAATATTTGAGGCCTACTATTAAATCGGAATGAATGGGGAGAGAGAAAAAAGAGGGAAAAAAAAGTTATTTTAGGATATAAATATTTGAGGGCCTAATATAAAATCGAAAAAAAAAAAAAAAAAAAAAAAAAAAAGACTTTAATGCCTAATATAAATTTTTTATATTTATTAGAGTTTAACCATATTAAGAAATAATTATAGTATAACTTAATATAAAAAAAAATTAAAAAATTTGGGGCCTTACTATTAGCTGGGGCCTTAGGCGACCACCTAAGGCTCGAGCCGGCCCTGTATATATATAGATAGATAGATATATTTCATTATGATTTCATAAAGATATCATAACACCATCATGTAATATGTATATGTATATGTGTGTGTGTATATACATATATATCTTTTTATCGTATACTATTCCACCAGCTTGACTCTTCACAATTAGTGTCAACAGTATTTTTGCTACTCTATCAACTTATAAACTACCTCTACCCATCAACTCTTTCGCAAGACTGCATTTCTCTCCATCTCATAAGTGTTCATCCATAACCTACGTACCTATTTATAGAATTCCAAACCCAATTTTTTGTTAGAGAATAACTACAATTCTTTAGAGTCCAATACTTGTCTAATAAAATATTCTTGACAAAATACAGCTCTAAAATAGAAACTCAATTAAACTATAAATTTGAGACACAAGTCTCAACAATCTTCACATTGACTCTAATTTAATTAAGCCAATTATCACTTCCTACAACACTGATCAAAACAATACATTGCATCTTCAATCTTGCACACAAACCCAATAACTCTGAATGGACTTTATCAAGATCCTCTAGAAACTATGATTGTCCACACTGTACGCTACTCAATTAGTCAAACCTCCAAGGCTCTCGCCTAATTAATCAAGCTCCATGCCTTGAAAACTTATCTTCATCTCAAAACCATCTCTAGAGGTCATTTCGTTCCCAAAACACACGTTACTTAAACGTCAATCTTTTCATCTCAAACCTCATTTTCATCTCAAAACCCACTCTAAAGGTCATATTCACTAAAAGAAATACACATTTTCTTCAACGTCACTCTTTTCTTCTCAAACCCCATTTTCTTCTCATAATCCTTTCTAAAGGTCGTTTTCATTCAAAAAATACATTTTTTTCTTAAACGTCACTCTTTTTATCTCAAAACTAATTTTCATCTCAAAACCCTCTCTAGAGATCCTTTTACACTTTCAAAAGTCGGCTTGAATAACGTCTTTTTACATCTTAACTTGAGAAAAAAGATTTTATCAGATAACTCAGGAATAAGTCTAGATGAAAAAGTATTAACCGAGACTGTAGCCAATCACAATAAATAACACAGGCGAATTAGGATCTTGAGATAAGAACTAGAGAGTAAAGAGGGGTGAATAGGTCTAATTCCAAATTCGGGCTTTTGATTAGGGCATATTTTTTACATATTTTATTTCCAAAATTATATTTGTTAGTACTTTATGGTATTTTATTTTAATTAATTAGTATATTGTTATGTCTTTATAGTATCTTTTTATTTTTTTTATAACAGAAAACGTTTTCTATTTTTGTGAAGAAAGAAAGAAACATAAAAAAGATATTTCTTATATTTTCGACACTGCTGAGCAAAAACGTTTCCACTATTGTTATTACATATATGATGTTCATTTCAAATAAAATGTATGTTATTCATGTTATATACTAATGATATATATTAAACACTAATAAAAATTATATTTTTAATATATAATTAAAATACTAAATATTAGTGTAAATTATTTTTACACTAGTATCATATTTGGTTGCTCAACTGCACCAAAGCAAAGGTGGTGAGTTGAGTAATTGTTTAGATATTATTATCCTTTTATTCAACGTCCACTGTGATGAGTTAGAAATTTGTGAAACGTAAGTGGGACACACATTCATTACT